TAATATGAATTACAGCATAAGCATGTTCCCTGGATCTTGTAGCTCTCTTTAACTGCAATAATAGTTCATACAGTCTTTGATTTTGCATCTCTTTTATGGAAGCGTCTTCAATTCTTGCTACAAATCCTGCTACATACAGAGAGTCTGTAACAACATTCAAAGGTTGCTTTAACTGTGCCAGTGCCCATACCACTGCTAACAGTTCCATGGTTTGCAGGCTGTCCACTGCTTCTGCTTGCAGAATATGATGCTTCCATACTCCCTTTTCTTGCCAGGTTATTGCAGCAGTTCTTGATTTCCTGCCAGCGTCTGTAAATGCAGTAATGGCACCTGAGATAGGAGAATCTTCTCGCTTAGGACGAGTTATCCAGTCCCAGTCCCCTATCCATTGAACCAAAGCTGGTCGAAGCTGATATGTTTCAATGGGGCAACATGCACCTAAGAGAGCTTCCTGCAGTTCCTGTGAATTAGTCAAATACCAGTCCAAGGTATCCTTTTTCATTGGTATCTTGATGGCAGCTGTTTCTGCCCCAGCCACCTGCAACATCCTTTCTCTGCCCTTCTTTATCAGATCCTCTAACATTTCAATTTTTTGAAAAAGAGTCTTAGTTTGCTGCAGTGGGGGGGAGATCCATTCTAATATCCGTGTTTCCCCCGTTTCTTGTTTGCACTGCGTAAGTGCTCCCAAAAGATATTGTGGGCCATTCCAAATGGTCAAATCTATGGGTAAGTCTGGATCCCTTCGATAAACATGCCCATGCATAACACAGTCCATAATTTGCTGAATGGCCTGCTGTTGCTTATCAGTAATACACACCGGATGAGTTGGGTCAGTTCCTTTTAACAGTGGACGCAACTCATCGAGCAGTTCATTGGGTATTCCCACCATTGGTTTTAACCACTGTAAATCACCCAGGAGTTTTTGAGCATCATTTAAGGTGGTTATTTTTGTTTTTAATTGCAGCTTTTGAGGTTTGACAGTTTGTTCTGTCATAGACCATCCCAGGTATTTCCAGGGAGCAGTTGTTTGGATCTTCTCAGGAGCTACTACTAGAGAGTATTGTGCCAGTGTGGTTCTTATTTCCTGGACTTGTTGTTGTGTGAAAGGCATAGGCTGAGCAAATAATACATCATCCATATAATGATATATCACCGTACTAGGCCATTGCTTCCTGAGCGGTTACAAAGCTGCACTGACATAAAGCTGTCACAAGGTGGGGCTGTTGCGTATCCCCTGCGGAAGAACTGTCCATTCAAACCTCTGATCAGGTGCTTCTTTGTTAATTGCAGGTAATGTGAAAGCAAAGCATCGCATATCCTGCGGGTGGAGGGCGATAGTAAAAAAGCAATCCTTTAGATCAATAATCAGCAAAGGCCAATCCATTGGAATCATGGTCGGGTTAGGTAATCCAGGTTGTAATGAGCCCATAGGTTCCATCTGTTCATTAACAGCACGCAAATCGTGGAGCAGTCTGTATTTTCCTGACTTCTTTTTAATTACAAAAATTGGAGTATTCCAGGGGCTGGTAGATAAACGCAAGTGTCCCTGTTGAAATTGTTCTGAGACAAGCTGATGTGCGTGTTGAAGACTTTCCCCTTTTAAAGGCCATTGCTTAACCCATACCGGGGTGTCCACAATCCAGGTAATGGGAATTGGGAAAGTCCAAGCAATGGCTTTTACTCCAAAGGGTGTTCATTTGTCAAGACCACCCCTAGCTGAGCCATAATGTCCCGACCTATAAGGCATTGAACAGTAGGTGGTAGCTGAACCACTGAAAAAATTGCTGTAAGCTGGTTTCCCGTCGATGTAAACTTGAAGGGGAGGCGAACGGCTAGCCAAGGTAAATCCTCCGACCCCGGATACTGCTGTGGCTGCTGGCTGCAGAGGCCAGTGTTGAGGCCAGAAGTTAGGACTGATAATGCTAGAATCTGCTCTAGTATCTAGCAGACCTGAAAATGACCTTTTTGTCCTTTGAATTCTACTTCTACCTTTTTCTTAGGTCTCTCAGTAAGATTTAAAGTCAATAAAGTAAGTCCTTCTGTGGAACCAAAAGCACTTTCTCCCCTCTTTTGACCTTTTATGGGTTGTATTACTTTAGTCATTTGCTCAAGCAGTACCAGCTAAACAATTCTTTGTCCCTTGTTAATTTGAAGAGGAGGAAAAGGAGTGTACGCCATCACCATAATCTCTCCCATGTAATCCGCGTCGATAACACCAGGTAAAACAAACAGTCCCAACAAAGATGCAGAAGATCTTCCGAAGAGCAAAGCGCCCACTGCTATATCCTGTATAATAATAGGTCCTCGGACCCCTGTTGGGATTTTCTGCGGGTGCGGAGTCATCAGGGTCACATCTACTGTGGCTGCCAGGTCCATGCCGAGGGTCCCTGCTGTGGCTGGTTGAAGGCTCCCTGCTGCGACGGGTTGAAGACTCCCTGCTGCGGAGGGTTGGAGGTTCCCGGCTGCGGAGGGTTGAAGACTCCGTGCTGCGGAGGGTTGAAGACTCCCTGCTGCGGAGGGTTGGAGGCAGGAGGGGGTGTTGTTGTTGCTGCAGCGGCAACTTGTGTCTGGGCGCGGCTGCTGCGATGTGCGCTCCTGGGGAAGTTTCCTGACCTCCGTCTACAAGCGCCCGTATTATGAGTGTCCATACGGCATTTGTGGCACCAGATTCCGACAGTCTGGCATTCCCGGCGCAAGTGGCCCATGCCTCCACATCGATAGCATTTCATGCGGCCCCCTTTATTTGATGCTGCAAATGCAGCTGATGCTTGGAGAGGTGCAAGAGCAGCTAACACCTGACTCTGAGAGGACTTTGCCTGTTCTTGCAAACCTATTCCTATCTGTTTGAGCGCATCTACCACAAAAGCCTGCTGCCTGGTAGGAATAAGAGCCATCCTCTCTAATGCCTCCTCTATGGTCCAATTCGCACCTAAGGTTATTAGGTACGCTCCTAGTAACAGAATTACAATTTTGAAGGGCACACTGTCTGAGTAAGGCCCCGCGCATATATTCCGGCACGCCAGCTCTTTCAATTGCAGCAGCAGCTTTATCAATAAAAGCGCCAAATGATTCCTCTCTGCCTTGCTCGATTCCCATATACACTGGTATCCCTCCTGGTTCCTTTACTCTGTCTATCACGAGTCTGACTAATCTCATAGCCTCCCGGCACTTCTCCTGGCCTATTAAGGTTTGTGCCTCAGTACGAAGGAAAGGTCCCAGACCCATAAGCTCATTAACAGTGACGCCATGCAGGGGGTCACCCGGCTGCCTTTGAACTGCCACACACTCACTAACAAGCGCTTGCCAATGAGCATGAAACAGCAATTGTTGATGTTGGGTAAAAATTAATTTGATTACGCCACGATAATCATTGACGAGAAGAATACTAGTGTCAAAAATATAGTCGAGCATTTGTTTGGCTGGTTCACTTTTAACTCCAAACTGACTAACAGTAGCTCGCAATTGAGATAACATTTTCCAGTCAAGAGCAGTGATTGTCGCTTGCATGCCCCCCCCGTCCTGAGGTGTGAAGATAACCGGACAAGCCAGCTCGCGAGCGGAACTTATCAGCTCTTGATCTCCCTTTTCAATTGCATCTTTGGCCAGGGCAGCCCACGCATCTCGTCTTTCCCTCGCAATCGTCGCCGCTAAGTTGTTTTCCGCCCCAGGGATCGACTGATTGCTTTTCGGGAACGGAGTATGCATTTGTGGCCCCGACTGCTGCGATACAGCAGATACGGGAGACTCAGAAGTGCTCTGTGTAGCCTGCGGCAAAGCGGAAAAGAAGGCACCCTGCGGAGCTTGGCTCGTTAAGGGGGGCTGGCTTGTTAAGGGGGCCGACGAAGCGGGTAGTGAAGCGGTCTGTGTAGCCTGGCTTGTAGCCTGGCTTATAGCCTGGCTTGTAGCCTGGCTCGCAGCTTGGCTTGTCGAGGGAGGTGGTGAGGCAGGTAATAAAACTGTCCTCATTGTGGGGCCGAGAGGAGTTCCCGACTCCTTATCAAACTCCCTATCTTGATCGTATTCTTTGTTACGATCATGAGCGGCAGTAGCCTGGTGAGCAGCCCTTTTTTCAGCCTGAAACTGCAACAGTTCGGTGTTAATGACCCGCCATAATTTACCCCACTTCTTAGCAGTTTTATCATCGTCTAATGTAGCCTGCCACAATATATCACCAAATTTTCACCACTCCGACAGCTCGTGAACTGTGTGGGGATTTACAAAAATATCCCTATCCAAACCATAAGCCAAAAGTCCCGGTAATTCTTTCTGTAAATCTATCCCCTTAACCTGCCTTTTTTGCAGGAAAGTAATAAAAAGTTCATATGCGGCTTGCCTTTCCATACCTATATCGTAAGCGCGCACTTTGCAGCTCCTCAAGGTCACGGCCGCATGTATCGGCCAGGCCCGTCTTTTACGGTCGCCCAGGGCACGGCGCGTCTCAGCGGGTTTTCCTCCGCTTTTTTCTCTGCGCTTCTTTGCCGTTCCTGCTGCAGTTTCGATCTTCGGAACCCGACCCTGGCTTCACTTCCCGTGGTGTTCGCTATCACGTTCGGGTGTCACCATATATCGAAGTGAAGGGAGAAGCGACCATCCGATGATGCATCAAACTCCAATTTATTGATCAATCAGCCACTTTAAATAACAGTGTTAATTAACTTCATGCATATTGCAAAATCTGAGCTCACAATAGGCTAACAGAGAAAACTCTAACCACTCCTTTTTTTTTACAATACCTACAATTGTTTTTTAAAAACAGAACCAACGTTCCCACTGTGATATGAGAGTTTCCCAAAACTACCACATCTGTTCCCAGGGAGCCAGCTTTTCCCAGGTAGAGTGCTTTGCTTGTTATGGGAAGACTGCCTGAGAATCTTATTGTTTATAAAAATGAGCCTGGGAACTACTTTACTTTTACCTTTAACTTTGCTCTCAATTGTATGTCTTCATGGCCTTTTTCTTTAAGCCATGCCTGAAATAAACTCTCCACATCAGGGCTTTTTTTTTTTTCTTTTCTTAATTTAAAAAAAAGGGTAATAAAAATAAGCCAGGTCTGATTTAAGTGTCTTGAAGTGCCATTCAAGCCTTTTAAACCCAAGAAGACCGTCCTGATTCCCAAGTTCAGTCTTCTATTCATACTGGTTTTGGTATCATTAAATCAACCAGATTCTCCAAGAAATCATCATGACTAAACCTCTGTCTCCTCATTCTTTGCACTTATACCCCATTGCACGAAGCTCTGCAACCATTTTTTCCCATCCTGTATTAGAGAGAGGATGAATATTAAGGGCACACACTGACACAAACAGTCTTTCTGGTTTTCAAAAAGATAAAAATGCGTGTAATAAAAATTACTTAAGTAATATTGTCTCTCAAACTGTTCAAGAAAAGGGAAATTGGAGCTTTAATGTCCCACTGAGAGATGTTGAATAAAATCTTCCCCCTGAGTTTGCACATAGGAATAAAATACTGACTTTTCTGACCAGACAAGGTATGTCTGTATGAGAACAGCTCAGGAAGCTTTCACAGCTCACGGTGATGAGGGCAGAGCACAGAAGAACATTAAAGATGAATGTTAGTCCCCTGAATTAATGCCCTGATGTAGACAAATTTTTTTGCTCAGAAACATAACAGTTTCTTTCCTTTGTTTCTGAGTCTCCAAGTCACTCTGTAATTTGCAACCTGCACCAACGTGACACAGGTAAGTGACATATCCGGGTCCTGAGCTCCAAGCCACATGTCCCCGATGTGAAGGGAAGTCAGGAATACAGAAGCAGCTGTGGAAGAAAGATAAGGAAAAAATCAGAACAGATATTCTTCTATTTCCCCACAGTACTACCAAGTCAAGCTGCTTGGTACCTCCAGGATTATTTTTTAAAAGAGTTCTCTAACTCTATTCCTAGCTGAAAAATCTGGATTGGCTTTGCCCATGCAAAGCCAACGATCCTACTCACAAGAAGAAACAAACCAGTTTCCTGTTAAATAAAGCAGTTTGAAATCTGACCTGTCAGATGCTCTCACTGATCAGCAATAGGGATCAGCATCCAGGCCCATGTGGACTTGGTTTTTTTGCTAACTATTTTCCCTCTTGGAATTATTTTTCTTTTGTACCTTTTGTTCCATTTTAGTCCCTGAAAGGGAAGTTTCTTAGAGGGTGTGGGAGTGTTGTACTATCAGAAAACCTCCCAGTGTGACCACGCTCTTTGCTGCCCACCCCTGCCCTCATCCCACCAAAGACTGCTTCTGTTTAGGGCAGCCATGAGCCTGGGTGGATATGGGAGAACTGATTTAATGGATTAAAAAAGCCATGGAATCTCCTAATTTCTCCCACCACTGCCTCATAACATGAGTGATAAGAACAAGACAAGTCACCTGTCTTGTGCACATCCTCTTCCACCATTGCTGATAGGCACAGAGATTTCACAAGCTTGTGGAAGGTGCTGGACAGGCCCTGCTCCTCCATGAGCTGGAGCATGATGGAACTGAGCCCACCAAGCTGCCTGGAGAGCCCAGCTGAGGTGCTGCTGGCCTGGCAGAGCCGGGTGTAAAGCTTGAAAAGGTCGTTCCTCAGTCTCATCCCTGAGCATCTTCCGCACAGCTGTTGGGTGTGGTAGGATACGTTTCCGCAGCCACCTCAGCACTGGTGACATGTCCTGCTCCCCGAGGGGGCTCTGCTCCACCAGGGACCTCACCAGCTACTCAGTGACAGCATGAGTGGATGCACAGGTGATAGCCACTGCCTCACCCCCACCTTCACTGGCTCTGAGGGTCTCCCCTCTCTGTGTGGAGGGTGGTGCTGGGAAAAGAGGGTCCCAATGGGCAAGTATGGAATTCTGATGGTCTCTGCTTTCTCCAGCTCAGACACTTCCATGTCTGCAGCAGTGTCATCTTCTCCCACCTTGTTCCATTTCCGAGTGTGACAATACACAGGAGATGAGGCTTGAGGTTTGTTCTTGCCCTTAATATTTTCTGTAAGAAGATAACCACCACCAAAACAATCATCAGATACTCCAAAGGATTTTCCTGGTACAAAATTGTGCAAATAAGGTGCTTTCCTGTGTTGATTCAGTTGTTACAATGGCAAGTACCAGCCTCGTTAAGCAGCCTCGTGGAGCCTGCGTGTTTCAAAGGGGCTCCAGGAGCTCCCAGGGACTCCAGGCTGGAACCCTGCTCCAAACTGGATCACTCAGCCTGGAGACGAGAGAAGCTCCTGAAGCCTGGAGCAACACAACCCACACATGCAGTAAGTTACAGGCATCACTCCAAAAACTCTCTTTAGGTCTTTCTGAGGAGTTCTGAAGGGTGAAAAAACTGTAAAGGGTGAAAAAACTGTAGAAAAGCTAAAGCTTTTACAGAATCCCTTAAATACATGATACTTTCTTAGCGATACAGAACATTTAAACAAACCTACAAAAGCTTTAATGTGCACCAAAAGCAGCTGCTGCAAAAAAAAAACATCGTTGTTTTAGGACCTCCCACTCCCAAGTTCCTTATACTTTTTGTTCACAGAGAGAACAAGAGAAGTCACATAAGTCCTGACTTTTTTTCCTTTCTTTAAAACTGGTGACAACAAGAGACGCCAACTATTAACTTCTGCTTGCTTTATGTATTTATTGTTTTTACTCACACATTGCTTTCAGATTCCCATCCAGAATGATTCACAGAATGACTCACACCTTTGAGCGCAAAGCCTCCAGGCACTGCTTTTTCTCTTAAGATTTTATTTTAAAAATACCCTTTTTCAAAGCCTGACGCGAGATTTGCCACTAAGTTTCATTTTAAAACTCTTTCCCTTCATAAATTGTGTTTCTCCAAAGCTTCCAAATTGTTTCAAGGTTTGAAATAACCACAAGGAAGATCTGAAAAATGCCTTTCCATTTCCTTTCTTCCTCCCTCAAGGAACATCAGTCTGACAGAAGGCATTAGGACTACTTCCAGAGAAGTTTGCCTCACTTGAACTGCTGGTCTTTAACAGCTACAACAAAATACGTCTTCCTTGAAGTATTTCAGCACTTACTGAGCAATTCTTTGTTTTGGTACTTCTGAGCTAGGGCCTGCAGGTTGTTCTGCAGCTGCAGGTCTTTGCTGACAAGACTCCACTTGTGCAGCAGCAGCTCCCTGCTGGAGAGGACACTGTCATTTACCGTGAAACACCTCATCTCACTAAAAGCCTCCACAACAACAGCACAGTATTCCAGCACAGAGCTGAGGATGCCAAACAACTCAGTCAGCTTGGCCAGATCTACATTAGTCCTGTCAAAACACAACACAAGTGCCATGCATGCTAATTCATCAGTACTGTTCTTAATCCCTACTGTCAGAATGGCCAGGAATTAAGGACGAAGGACTTGACAACAACTGTGCATCACATTTTACTTTATTCCCCATGTATTCAAACACATAAATCCTCCTGTCAAAGAAATCTCATCCAAATTCACTACTCAACACACGAACTGAAGGTGAAAAGAACTATCCATCTAGCAGAGATAAAGAAATCTTAATAAAGATTTCTTTTTCTTAATAAAGAAAACTTAATAAAGTTCAAACTGGGCAGAGGATGAAATGCAAACCAACTAAAACAAAAAAACAAAACAAAGGACTTACCAAATATGTTTGATTAACGTGACCAAAACACACAGAAATTCATTTACAAGCTTATTAAGAAGAAGTTTGCTGTTCTTCTGGGATTGATTCTTGTTTTCTCTTGTCTCTTAAATTTATTACCCATAGAGTATGGAGTAAGGAAATAATTTTATTTATCACCTTGTTCTCCAGAAACCTGAAAAACAAAACAAAACAAAAAAGAAAAAAGAAAACCACATTGGAAAGGCAGATCCTCATCAGCAGCTGGTCCATCACCTACAGGGGACCGTACTCTAGTGCACTTTTGGTGCACTTGCCTGAACCTGTCAGGGCACTCTATGTATGCAGAAGAGATGTTTTTGTGATGGAGAGGCAAGGCAAGGAGGAATGTTCTAGACAGTTCAAATCTATTACTGTGCTGCTTCCTGTGCAACAGGTCCTGTGACAGGATGTGAACAGAGAGTGCTTGAAATTTAAAAGGTAAAAACACCAGCACAAGGTGCCATTTTGCTTTTTCAGTTTTTCAAGGAAGTGATTTCCAAATCACAAAGCCCCTCCACCATCCTCCCTCCTACCACAACCTGAGAGCATCTTGCTTCTGTTTTCAAAACCACAAGGAACACCTCAGAGTTCAGCAAGTTCTGCCAGTACAGCCCTTGGTGCCCCTATTTCCATGTCTGTCACCTTTGCTTTTATCCTCAGCCACGTAATTCTTCTACTGTGGACAGGAAAACTGTTCCCATTTCTCCTGTGCTTCTCTGGTTACCTTTTCTCTAAGCTGTTCATGACCCACGTGAGGAGGCTGTGATCCTCTATCAGCTCATAGGCAGCTCGGGTGACACAGGCAGCACTTTGCAGTATCTCCAGAATACGACACTGAAACAGAAAATGTAACTTGTTCTTTTAAAATCAGGATCTAATTATCTAACTTAAAATTAGCAATTTGGCTGCTATCAGATCAACTTCAAAGTAAAATAAACACCACCTCTTCTCAGCAGCTCCAGGGAAGGAAAGACATTTTCCCTGCAAAGCTTCATACCACAGGTGCTGCTCTTACAAGAAGCATTCAGGTAGCAAGACAATTTTATCTTTTTGTCCAAGGTTTTGATACCTGAAATACTCAGGGTGGATGCTCCCAAATCTGAGAGCTCTTGGCATGTGAGTTTCCCTCCTGCTGAAGCACTGTTCAGGTAACAAATGCACTGGTGGGGGAATAGAGACCCCAAAAAAAGAAAAGGCCCTGACTGTAGCAGCAAAACCACGGCACCCACATGAGGCTCCATGATGGCAGGAACCTGTACCAGTTTCAGGGGATAAGGATGGGACTGGTTTAGACACAAGCAATTATTTCCCCCTCCACACATACACAAAACCAACAAGGAACAGATTTTCAAGAGGGCCAAGGCAGAGTCAGATGTTCCTTTCTGTTTTGTACTTGAGATCTCAAAGCCATGCAAAACTTTGTAGTTTGGAGTTTTTTGGAACTTTCTTTTTAAATTCTTACCTAGGAACCCTTGTCACACAAAGGAGTGTTGAAAAAGAATAGAATGACCCAGAAAACCCACTGGTAGTCTGTGGGATCTCAGCCTCTCAGGACTGGGGTGCAGGGTGACCAAGACCACCCCTGGGGGGCTCGGGAGTCCTGGAATGTTGCCAGAAATGTCTGGTGGTTAGACTTTGATCCCACACGGGAGACGACATCAGTATGAGGATAGGAGGATTTCACTGGGGTGAATGGTGAAGGGATAAGTTAATTGGAGTGTGAGATACAGGGTTTAAGATTTCTGTACAGGGGGGTCTAAAGAAGTAAGATGGAGGAATTGGGGCGTGCCCTTCTCCTTCTTCTTCTTCTTTTTGGCCTCCATCTTCTGTGGTGATGTTGGCACTTTGGGATTGGTCCTTACCAAAAGTGCACTGGTTAATAAGGGTAGAGGGTATTGGAGAAAAATGATAAATATTGTATACGTAACTCCGAGTATAAAGATAAGTGACCGCCCCGGGGGCTCTCAGTGTGTGCCCATGGCTGACTGCTGAGCAGAACTCTGTCAGGCCAAGAGAAAATCTTTTAGATAAGCATTTAATAAACACTGAGACCAAGAAAAGATCTGAAGTCCCTTCTCGTCCTTTGGAGCGCGGGCTGCCCAAGGCCACCTCGGGCCTTCCCAGACCATCTAAACAGCCGGAAATCCGACAGTAGTCATATAGCAATGTTTGTCACGCAGCCCTTCTCCAAGAAATCTGAGAATCCACTCACGCTCTGTTTTGTACAGGAAGCCACAAAGAAAAATACCACCATCAGACATTTCCAAAGAATACCTGCTCCTAAGAGCACAAAACCTCTGGTTCCTTCTGAGTGCCAGCTCAGGGCTTACCTCAGCTTGTTCTGGACTTCTTGTTTTCCATTCCTATCAAATTCCTATCAAATCACTAACATCCATCAGGAACAGTCAGTCTGCAGCCCAAACATGCAGTGGAAATAGCATTTTAGAAGTTGCTGTTTCTAAAATACTTCAGTTGAACTCGAAGTTGTGGGATTCACATTCTCTGAACCCAAGAAAAGCAGTGAGAGAAGCAGAGAAAAGAATGATCAATACAATTCTTGTCTCATTTGCTGCTCCTGTGTTGTGCTAAAGTAGAATGCAATATGGAGATTGTTTACCCAAAGTGATGGTGCTTTGTTTCCTTGGCCTATCAGGTCCAAGCGCGCGTCCAAACTATTGGTCAGCAGACAGTCACAAGATTTTGTTGAGTGCTTGTGCGGTTTCAGTTTAGATGTAGTGTAATATAGTATAGAATAATATAGTATAATAAAGTAGTTAATTAGCCTTCTGATATCAATGGAGTCAGATGCATCATTTCTCCCTGCCACAAGGGTCGCCTTGTTTTTACTATACAAAGTTACTAATCTAAAATCAAAGAGGAATTGTAGCTAGCTGGGGCAGAATATTCTGTTTATTGTGCTCACAGAGCATACACAGCACAACCCATTGTGCCTTAGTATTAAGAAAACAACGAAACCCCCACAGAAATACCATTTTTCATATATAAAACATAAGAAAGATGCCTCTAATTAACTATCTATGGAGAATGAGATTTCATTGTATTTTTACAGCTGTTTTTAATACATTTCTGAAGAATTACTGGATACCTAAAATGGGACTCTTACCTCAAAATCAAAACTGTAGAAAAGCTGGAAAAAACACGGTACCTTCCTCAGGTCCAAATACTGGCGTGACAGAAGGAATCTGTTTACCTTTATGTACATGTGCTCATGTGCTTCTCTGTGAAGAGAAAAAGTTGGCACCATGGGGGACAATGCTCCCAACCCACAACCATGCGCGACAATCCGTGGAAGCTGTAGCGAGTGTGCAGTGTTCCAAGCTAGGAGAACAGTCCAGCAACTGCGGAAGGCCTTTGTTCTGAGACTCACTCGATTGCTGCACAGCCTCCCCTTCTCTTCCCCAGAACGAAAAGCTCAATCAAGAGTGCATGAGCACAAAGCAGGTGAGGAGATCAACACTCCCCAAGGCTCTGTTTTTCACCCCAGAAGTGACACACGCAGCAAGTTCCAGTACCTGGCTTCAGGATCTGCTGGGCCACACGATCAATGTAGAGGGTCAGGGAGAAGGTGGACCTGAGGTTTGGCTGCGTGATTCTGTCCTGCACAGCATCCAAGAGATACAGCAACTGCAGCGGCCCAGGGAGAGAAGCCTGAAGCACAGCCCAAATGAACACAACAGGAGCACCAAGACATCAATCAGCTTCCAGGATATTTCATGCGCCATACAGGTAGGAGCCCTAATTCAGCAAACCTGAGGGTTTGGCGCTGTCAGGATCAAAACACCCAGAAACCTGTGTAAAAGAAACCGAACCAAAGCTGGCTAAAAGCAGCCCCTGGCGATGACTCCTTAAACAACTTGTTCATGAGGAGGCAGGGAGTGATCCAATACTCACCAGCCCATCCGGCCAAGGTCAGAGCTCTCTGCCTGCTGAAGATACAGCAAGCAGCAGGGACCTTTCTCCCACTCTCCAGCACAGACCTGCGAAGCCAGAGAGAAGTTTACAGAGTAGAAATAACCAGAATACGCTCTCTGCTTCCATACACTCTCTGATCGATATTCCAAAGGAAAGCCCCCATGGATCAGAAGCAATTACCTCTCATTTTTCCTCTAGAATCATCACTGCTTTGCCTTTCTGTGCAAGTGTTTCTTTCCATGTCCATCCATCCCCAGAGCACATTTAATCCATCTTTTCTTCCCAGGTGCAGCTCTCCAGCACAAATGCCACTTCTCACAGACACAAAGCAGTCATCTGTGACAGGTTTTGGCTTAGAAAGTAAAAACCTTAGTGCATCTGGCTACATTATTAAAACACATAGACGCATGGGTGGTCATAGATAGAAAGCTTTTCAGGAGACAAAAAGGCTGTTTCAATAGCACACTTCTATACACCTTCAGAAAAATCAGAATTAATAGCAACTCCTAAGACCCCTGATGAGGAATCCAACCCTCCCGGGGACACCCAATGCAGCAGACATGGGAAAAGGATGGACAAAGTCAAGCTTGGAGTGAAAAAAAGAGAACATAAATACAGTAGCCTGTAAAAAGCCTTCACACAGCAATATGGGGGACCAGTCTCATCTACTCCATCCTTGCTTTTTGTGATGACATGAATATGAAATAAAAACACATGAAACACAAGGAAGACCTAGGATGTACCAAGTGTTCATTTTGGCAGCGTGAATGACAAATGTCTGTCCATGCACTACCAGCCAGCCCCGTTTCAACCCATCCTTAGCCCAAGCCTTCCTCGCCTCCCGTTTCCCAGCGCTCTGCTCAGGGCTTCGGAGCTCTCGCTCTCTCCTCCCACAGCAGCATGGCACTATTTACAGACCCCGCCCCGCCCCTCGCCCTTCCCTCCCTCAGCAGTAGCGTCCTTCTCCCGCCCCCCGGCACCCAGTGGCGAGGGGCAGGGCGCTGGCTCAAGGGCTGCAGTACTGCTCTCTGTCCACAAGGCGGCAGCACTGCCGCCGGCCACAGCGGGAGGCTGCCCCCTCGCCTTGAGGGAGGGGAGGCAAAAAAGAACAGGGGATCGCCTTCAAAAAATCCTCAAAAATAAATGCCCCAAAGAAACCCGCACAAAAACCAAAACCTCATTAAACTAATGATTGTTGATCATCTGGCTGAATCTATGACATAAATCAGAAGTGAAATTTCCTCCCATTCACCTCAGTGTTTTCACCTTCTCATCCAACAGCCTGAGCCTCTTTGAGGCTGCTGTCAAACGCCTTGCCTTGAAAGCTAGAAGTGTTTCAGTTCACCCACTAAGAAACATGGAAAACAGCTCAAGTCAATTTCAGAATTACCCTGAGCAGAGCTGGTGTTTCAGTACCTGAAATTACCATTGCCAATATGTGCAAGAATCACCATTAGGCAAACATTTGAAATACGGTAGCAGCTTCATCTTCTTGTCGTTGCAGTCCTTGGAAGTTTTGCTATTTACTGAAATGGGAAACAGATCAAACATGAGAAGCTTAAGAATCCAAGCTCACTGGCCATTGTGTAAATAGCACTTGATGAATTCAAGGTACCATTGTAACATACAGAATGGCTCTATGCAAGAAAATGGACGTGTCATCTTTCACGGGGGCAGAAAACCTTTCTACCACGTGAACCCTGGGAGTAATCCATCATGCCTCAGTGTGCTGCGGCTGTTCAGAGAGCTACACGATGGGTCTCTGTGCCCATGGCACTCTCAGGGCTCAAGGGAGCACATACTCCCCACCTTACAGACACGCAGCTAAAGCCCACTGAAAATGCAGTTCCCCAGACAGCTTAGTGAAACCAGCTAGGAGTTCCCAGCATCACACTAGGTGCTTCTGTCCACAGATGGCTTTGCTTTTAATGAATCCAGAACAGAGCTGCATTTTTCTAGTCTTTAGCTCTACTAAGATATTTTATTTAACATGGCGAGAAAAAATTTGTTTCGACAATGATAAACAACAGAGGGGATAATGTGCCTTTTGCTGCTATCTTCTTTTGCTGCTCCATTTTGCTTGCTTAGTTCTTGCTTTCTGTCAAAGAAACGCTAGCAAAATACCTCATCAAGTCTTGCTGTGAAGACAGACTGCCAGAAAGGTAGAGAAACTTTGAACCTTTACAAGACCCTTGTAGCACATGTCTTGGTGAATTTCTATGCAGATCCTTTCTTCCAGCAGGACTTTTTTGCACTATTAGTGCACATAGAACTTGTTATAAATTATCAAATCACCAGCCAAATTTATCAAAAATTTAACAACGATTTATTGGTCAATTACCAAAAAAAAATAGAATTTCGTGCAACCTCCGCAATCAAGACAGCGTCAGCCCGGCATCAGACACTGGGTGAGACCAAAGAGTCAACCAACAAAGTGGCAGTATCTCCTCAGAGGTCCACACAAAAGCCTTCCACGGTACAGCTTGTATACAGTTTATTCTGCCTGAGGCATGGATGACCACATCTTTCTATTTATTTCTTTGAATGCAAATCCATTTCTTTAGACAGACCAGAGTTTGCAGACATGAAGTCTGGAAGCAGGCAGAGCTGGTTTTCATATGTAATATCTTGGTATCGGTTCCTGTAAGCCCATCATGGCATGTCCATGTCTCGTGAAACTCCTGGAGTCATGAGCCAGGAAGGCCTCGATGTTATCTCCCAGCTGCAGAGTCTAAGGAAATCACTGACGATGGGCCAAGGCAGTCCTATTAAGATGTAAAGCCAGCTTGATACAATCTTGGTGTTGCCCAGAAGTAGTTATAATTTGAATAGGACGCTGCTTCTTGGCTGGGGAGTTTAGTTTGTCTGTTTCATTTAAAATGTCTATTCTATTACATTTACCACATTCTATAACTACATACATTTCCTTATACAGCATGAATTAACTCTCATATTTCACAAACTGAATCCAGAACAAAAGCAGTGACTAGAGGAACCGTTCTCTTTTCATTTGAATGGTGATAAAAATGCATATCAAATAAAAGCATTTTAGAACAGCAGGAAAATTTTCTATGTAGCAATCAAATCATAAAAATATGTGTATTTACAGTTTGGGTTCCTTTCGGCATTTACAAGAATTCCAGACAAAAAACACAGCTTAGTAAACTGCAAATCTAAATTACAGTATCTTGAACAGTAACATGAGGATGGCAAGAGGAAGAAAACCAAACAGGAAACCAAAGGAAGCCAGAAATAAGGCACAACCTCTCCTTCTTTTCTGCTTACTACAGTACCTTAGAAGTACCTTCAAGTGTTGTAACAGACATATAAGTAGAAAACTGTGCCAAGAACAATTGTGGAAAACTGTGGAAAACTGTGCTATCCCCACAGAAACATAGGGTTTGCTTTCACGATGATTAAATCTGCATGCAATGCGTACAGTAAGGGTATGTTTTGTATATTCAAAAACAATTTAAAACTATTTCCAAATTGAAGGGACTGCTTTTTAGTTGTTTTGAATTACTTGGCTAAATATGGCACATGTTAAAATACTGCAGACATGTGGTTCATTTTAGAGTTGCCAACTGCGACAGTTCTAGAAGTTGTTGTTCTACCTCTAATTCAGCTGCCTCACCTTCCCACCGTCCTTTTCTACTTAGCCAAAGTAATGGGCCTCAGCCCAAGGCCTTCCTTTTGTAAGCTTCTAGCTAGATGCAACAGCAAACCACTACTTTCTTCTGGGCCAAGACTTTAGGTAGACGATTTGCATCTACCCTTCCAGTGAAACCTAATGGGGAGAGAAAAGCCTCTCAGAGATGTTCAGTCATTCCATTTTCGAGACAGGCCAAATCAAAAGAAAAGCAAGCTATGGGATTGTGTACTCGCTCTTACAAAACACCTGCTGCCCTCTGACAATCAACTAGCAGAAAACCAGCAAAATGAGACTAGAGGCAAACAACCCTTGGAAGGGAATAATGATGTGATCAATAAAGACAACACATTTCCAGGCTACCGAGATACTTGAAATGTCAGCAAAGGCTTGAGAGCAAAGGCTGAACTAATGGGGAAAGGGTAAAAGGATCCCAAGAAAAACATGACCAAAGGTTAAAAGAATTCCAAGAAAAACATAGGCAACTGACCTGTTGAAGCCTTCAGGAGATCAGTGGCCGCTGATTTACATAGGCCATTCAAGTTAATTGACCCATGCACCTTCCACTCCTTTTCCACCTGTCAGCATCACAGGGTGAATTGTGACCATGGAATCACAATTCTTTGGATTCTGTTCTTAGCTTTAGAAGAGAAGTACAGCAGCTGAAGTACCTGTTACTGATGTGATACCCAGGAACACTGAGTTGACACATTTCATTCAAGTCCAATCACAAATAGTAACACTAAAAGGATAGGATTGGCCTCTTTTCATGATGCTTTTCTTGTTTTACAGCCTGCTCTGATTCTGGTGAAACTTTTTCATTAGCTTCTCTCTAAAAAGGAGAAAGTCCAATTAAATTTCCCTCCCTACTGGTGCAGGTTTACCATTCAGTTTGTCAAGCCTAAAAATGGAATTGGAACTAGCAGGAATTACTGTGTTTAAAGTGTCTGGTCTGTTCAGACAATCTCAGGTTGATAAAAGCCTAAATGCTACTGGCTAAAGAATACTCTGTTTCCCCCCAAGACCGCATGCATGCAATTTAATTTAACTTTTTGTACCCATCTCCAGTAATACAAAATCCAGTCATACAAAAAAGGCACAGATAGGAGGAAGAATTATTGGACCATTTAGGGAAGCAACCTTCTCACCTTTTTTTTTGAGTGAGCATAATCTGCTAGCTGAAGTAACAAACTTGAGGACAGAAATCTCCCTACTACTGAGAAGTTGCTGACAAGGGAACCACCTAAGCTCTGTGACTTTCCCCTTTCCATTCATTGGTCAAGCCTAGCAGCCTAAAATTTACGGGGTCAAAGACAAATGCTAATCTAGTCAGAAGTCTATGAAAGGTCCAAAAAGAATTGGAGTTCTTCTTAGACAATGGAAATGGAACCAGAGCTACCAATCTGCTTACTTGCAACATATCCCTAAAAGTCATTCCCTTCTATTCATAACTAATGTATAGCCACCAGTACAATCAAGAAAAGATTAAACTTTCCCCCTTCTTCTTCTTGAACCAGCCAGACCCTTTCCATCATATTTTCTACCAAGCAGCTCACCAATTTCATGATGCATGGAATAACACAAAGCAATATAATAATGACTACTACTAATAACAAAGCTCCCTTTATGGTATCTTTCAACCATCCAGTTCTTCCCCATCCCTCAAACCATTCATCCAAACCCTAGTCATTCCCAGTCAATTTCTTCATGTTATCTTGTCGTTGTTTGAGTTTCCTGTGAATGGCTGCAGAATGGTCAGAGAGGTTCATACAACACATTCCTTCAAACTCCTCATACTTGTGCCCATGTGCCAACAACAACAAATCTATAGCAGCTCTATTTTGCAGTGTGCCATGTCTAATGCTATCTACGCCAGTGAACATCTGATTTAAAATAGCTGAAGTTACCTTTAGTTGTTGGACTGTCCAGCATTCCAACTTATTTAAGCGTAGCCAAAGCTTGAGCAGCAGCAACACCTGTAGTAAGGAATGATTTATGCTGGAGCGCCCCAAAACTCTACACAATTGTCACAATCAGGTCTTAAGCTTGTGATTGCTCTTTCAGTTATCTTGCTATGTCCTGCCCTCCAAGTAGTCTGATTCAGCATTTCATGCATGCTAGCAGAAAACATGGTTAGTCTTCCTAAGTAACAAGGACCATCAAACAAATCACTTGGAATTGTGGGTCATGCCCTATCCTCACACATTAAAAAGACACCTGGTGGAAGCTTTCTTACAGTCACATTTGCACCAGCACTTCCAGGATAAGTCCAATTGTGGCAATATTTGGTCACTTTCTGATACCATGGAGAATTGGGATTGAGGATGACACTATTATTTTTGGGTCATGGGACTAGGACATTGCTCATATAAGTTAATTGTGGGATTAAAAAGTGGTTGAAAAACAGGCAATAATTTTCAGGTACTCATCCTAACAAATCTAATTATTGGAGCTCTAGTCCGCTTTCATTCTGTGATTGTGTTATAATACCAGCTTGGATGCCCTCGCCATTTGCCTTAATCCCTAATCTTTAGCATATGTCCAATTTTGTAACACCACTGGCTATGTTACACCAGTGATTTTTCACGTTTGGTTTATTTGCTTCCAACTCCTACCCATTTTGCAAAACCAATAAGGTTACTTATTGGGATGCCAATTAAACATGTGTGGAAACATCTCCTGGCATGGTTAAGGATAAACAAAAGAAATCCACCCCAGTAGCATTGGCCCAAGTAAGACTGTCGATGCTATCTGTCGATGCTATCTGGACTACAGTTGTTGCCACATATCACAAGGAACAGAGAGAAACCTCCAAAAACCCACATAACTAATTTAAGACTATTATTCATCCTTAACATCGGCAAAGAACCCTTCCCCTATGAGATTAGGGAAAAAATCCAAGCTGATTGTGCCTCTTGCTCTTTGTTCTCTTCTCCTATTCTGTCTCCTTTAGTTCTTCTCCTCCCACTTTCGCTTTGTTTGCTCCCACTGCTCAGGTATAACTCCCCATGTCCCAGGAATAATCCTTTTCTGCATTCAATGGCCTTGATCTTATTTTCTCTCTCCTTTTTCTTGAGCTCCGAAGCTCGTTATGACGAGAATTCATTATGTCCTTTTTTTTCCCACTTATGGCTAGTGAAGTAATAGGAAAAATTCTTAGTTATAGAAACTGTTACTAATCAACACAGACTGTTGCTCAGCCAAAGCTATGTTAAATTCCTGAAGCCAGAGCAAGAGAACAGAGACTTCATAGAATTAGGAAGAGTTTCTATTTCTTTCTTTTGTATAGCAAAAGGGAGAGTGCATATTAGAGTGGGGCATGGAGTAGGTGATTCGGGAAGTCTGTACTGTCTGATTACCTCAGCCAATGGGGGAAAGAAGAATGGGATGCAGTGGGAAACTGTCGGAGGAAGGAGACCCAGACACCAGTTGGTTCATCCAAGTCCAATTTATTGATCGAATACGGCGGGTTAAATACAGTTCTTAATAAGCTTCATACATATTGCAAAAGTTGAGCTCAGGATTGGTTAGTTACATATCAGCAACTACACCTACTTCTACATTCTTGTGCTTATTCTTCTGTTACATTCTGCAGATATTCAGGACTAATCTCACCTCCCTTTCCTCATGTTGCAGCAAGGTCATCCGGCATTCTTGCCTGTCAGCAGTCACTGAATCAGAGACTGCTGACCTCCCTTTCAAGCTTAACCAGCGGCATTAAGTCAGTATGGCCTTTCTCAGCTAACCAACTCTTAATAAAATCCTCCACATTTCCCCCATTTTCTTCTTGAGCAAGGAGATTAGTTTGCCAGGTTTTTGCTATCATACGGCTAACATGTTTTGAATACAAGTAAAAATACAAGGCAAAATAAGCAAAAACATTAAGATCACACCCAGTAAGCCGATAGCATATGTCACAATGTTCCTTAGCCATGGTCCAAGCCCTAAGCCTTTAAGCCATTCGTCAATTCCTAAACCTTCTTCTTCTTTGAGATTGTGAAGTCCCTGTTGTAGTTCTTTTATCTTAGTATGAATGGACACCGAATGATCAGACAAATTCATACAACACATTCCCTCAAATTCTTCACATCCATGCCCTTGTGCTAAGAGCAAAAAGTCTACAGCAGCTCTATTTTGTAAAACAGTATGGTTAACACTTTGCACATCTGCAGTCATCATATCCAGAATTTGGGATGTCTTGTTCAGCTCATCTCTTGCCCAGCACCCTAATTGCTTTGCTAAATTTATAGCCTTATTGGCAGATCCTCCTGGTAAAATAGTTGAAACTACTACTTGCCTGAATGTACTCCAAAACTTTGGATCTCCTATCTGGCTGCAGTCCAAGTCATGTATACTACGCTTTTTCCTGTTTGATGTTTGACTGAGCTGCATTAGCAAGGATACATTAGGGTGAAACAAGGACAATTTTCCCAAATAACAGGGTCCACCCTGTGGCTTAGCTGGTACACCATTCCACGCCCTGTCTCCACAAATTAAAAATATTCCTGTAGGTCATTTCATTGGTGCCGTGATTTTTGTACTGTTACATTGACTGTAATACTGTGGAGAGAATTCACTCAAATTCAGGGATGAATCTAAGGTGGCCCATGTTTCTTTAGGTTGATTTAAGTTTTGAACATCCAAGGGTTTGAAACTGAACAATCCGCCAGCTGTAGTATTAGATATACTGGCATTTGCACTTCCAAAAAGATCCAATTCCTCAGGAGGAGAATGCAAAGAGGTGTTAAGTGATTGGATTAGTAAGCATTGGCAATAGCCATCACTCTGACCTGCAGTATACCCTTGCTGCACTGGCAATGTGATGTTTGACATGTTAGACATACATAAAGTTCGATTATTTATCAAACCGCAAAATTCTCCTGGAGACCACACCGGAAGTCCTACCAGGCATGTTTGAAATGGGTTAGTAATTCCTCCAAGACTAAGACAAAGCGATGATTGATTAATTTGATTAGCAAGTGTTACCCATAGATTTTCTCTTGGCTGACTGAAACGTGTTATCCCTACTGCTTCACTCGCTACAGCACTGAGCAGTATAAAAACAAACCTCATTTTTCTTTCTGCTTTCTCTGTTTTTCCTTTCTTCCTTGTCTTTTCCCTGGTTTGTTAGAATGTCTATTGTAAGGCTGAGTCAATTTTTGAATACACTGGTCTAATTCCAAATCAGCATCCTTGCTTACAGGTATAGCATGAGGTAAGTTTAAAAGCAAATCAGCTTTACAGCGAGCTGCTATGATGCGTGAGGATGTAGTAATTTCAAGCTCTCTAAGTACTTGCTGTAATTTCCACCTTATATATGCTATGGCCACTTGTTCTGTACTCTCATAAAGTTGTAATCCTGACCTTCCTGGTAGACCAGTACTTTGCTCAAGAGCTCTATACCAGGAAGAATATCGAATCCACTTCCCAAAACAAGAGTGACACCATAAAATTCCTACTGTCCTCTGTGAATACCAATAAACCTTATTGCAATCAGCACAATGCAAAGCTACCCAAGCATAACACTTATCATTATCCTTTTTGCAAACATAACAAGGAAGTGTATACAGGAAAGGATGAGTATTAAAATTTGTCTGTGTGATCCAATCCAACCAGTTCAATGGTGGTGATTGCAAAGCCTCTTCAGCTTTCTTACTATATACAGCTACCAATTCAAGCTCCTTCTTTAATACAAAATGTATCTTATCTCGTAATCGCTGTTCTTGTTCTTCAACACCTATAGCATGCCATGAAGCAGGGTCCCATGGAGCTACAGCATCCCACAAGGCAGGGTCCCATAGATGTGAAATTGCCCTAATCATAGAAAGCTAATATGCAATCACTAATAGCCTTATTTAGATGAGGTCGTTCCCTATCTTACCTTCTTTTTCTTATCTGTTTTCAGTTTTGCTGCTCCTAATTTCACTGGTCCTGTTACTTGCAAACTTAATTTTTTGCAACTTTTCAATGCAGCAGTCTAGTGCTCTTTCAGGATTCCCTCTGAAGGGTCCTACAATAGAACGTTGCATTAAAGGTACTAATTTTCTACACCTTACAGAGACTATACATGATTTACCTTGAACCTTAATTCTATTCACAACACATTGTACTTCCCATCGATAATAAGCAAGAATTTTCTGTTCAGGAGACTCATAAAGATTTAAAGCTATATATGCATTTTGCCCTGTTTGTCTCCTTAATTCATCTTGCCAGCTTTTACCCCACGTGTGCTCGTGCTCACAAGTGTGACACCATAAATCCCATAATAATGATTGTTCTAACCAAAAAGTTCTATCACAACCCCCACAACGTAGGGCTATCCAGGCAGCACAATGTGGATCGTGACAGTCAAGGCAATGTTCCTTTGCTGGATTTGTTAAACGAAAAGTTGATAATGAGTCAATAAAACCAATCAACTCCTGGGCCGTCCGATAGTGACGTGTCAGTGCTCTGTCCACCAATTTCAAGTGTCCCTTCAACTGTAACAGTAGTGGTCGTAGGACTAGAAGCAGTTTCTTCCCCAGTCACTCCCTGTCCTCTTCCGTGAGGCAGTCCACCAGAGGCTGCATCAAAAACAGGTTTAGTCCACTTAGCAGGCACCCACAAAGGTCCCGTAGGTGAGGAAACACAAAGATATCCCCGACCCCAGTATAATACTTTTGCAGGTTTTTCCCATAATCCTGTAGTCGAGTTTTAATTTCCTGACCTGACCTCGGATGATGTTTAATTGCAGGAGGGATATCGTCTTCCCCAAAAATAAATAAATGATTCATCACATACAGAACCTTAGCTAAGCATGATTGTGGGTCTGTTAAATCTTGATGCTTCTCAATATACTGCTTAAGGGTACCATTTGCTCTTTCCACTATTGCCTATCCAGTAGGAGAGTGTGGAATACCTGTCACATGCTTAACAGACCACTGATTCAAGAATTTCTGGACCCTAGCACTCACATAAGCTCGACCATTATCCGTTT